GTATTTTCAGTGCGACTAGACATATGCCTAAAGAGGGAGACGTTTGAAAAACACTCTTCTATCCCTACACATCCTTCGGGGTCTGCGTCTGCAGAGCACACGCCCTAGAAGGGTAGAGGGAAGGAGCGAGCGAGTGTGCAAACGTGCGAGGCCATCGACACGACCAGGTAGGCGCCGGGCGCCTGCGCGTGGCTGTCCCAGCAAGGCTACCGTGCTCAGTGCCCATGGCCTCAAAGAATGGGAAAACCAGCGACGTGGGAAGGCCTTCGCTGGCAGACACAGCCCTCACCCCCACACCCGCGTGAAAAGTTTCCTCTGGCCCATCTCAGAGCCACAGAGACAGGCAAGGCAGCCAAGGCAGGGTGAGATGACGAGCAAACACGGAGACAGGGAGAGTCCTCAAAAGCAACTGAGAATTAGCACCTTTATGTCAGACTCTAAGAACAGGCAGTGGCCCATCAGGACCCCGTGCTCAGGACCCTGTGCTGTCAGGGGCTGGGAGAATCACAAATGACTCCGCTTTGTAGAGAGGACTCCAGGCCAGCCAGACCTGATCTGTGTAGGCTCCACACCTTAGGAACTCTGGGCCTTCGGGCAGGCTCCTTCCCCCTTCCCCAGCCCCCTCCTCCCTCTCACATGCATCTCTGGAATCGTGCCTCCTGGACACGCTGTGAGAAGTAAGTGAAAGAATATACGCAGGCGCTTTCCTCCCCACAGTCCAGGTACAAGAGTGTTGGTAGTGCTGGGGGAGCAGCGCATTTTTCTTAGGAGTGCAGTTTACTTTTAAATCAGGTTGTTGTTGGGGTACTTGAGTTGTACAGGAAAACAGGAACCTATGCACTATGTGAATAAAAAAATATGATTGCATAGTCCAGCCGGTGTGGCTCAGTGGTTGAGTGTCGACCCATGCACCAAGAGGTCGCCGGTTCCATTCCCGGTCAGGGCACGTGCCCAGGTTGTGGGCCCGATCCCCAGTGAGGGCAGGGAGGAGGCGGCCAATCGATGTTCTCTCATTGATGTTTCTCTCTCTCTCTCCCTCTCTCCCGTCCTCTCTCTCTAAAATCATAAAAGAAAAAAAAAAAGAAATATGATTGTATATAAAAGGTCCAGGAACTCTGTCTCTCCTTGCGTGAAAAAATGCTAACTTCCGGTGCTAATTATCCTAAACAGATTCCTGGGGAACTGCTTGCAGCCAGCTGTGGGTGCAGGGAGGGGAGGGAGAGAATCCACGGACTCCGAAGGACTTCCTTGGCATCCCTACTCTCAGACAGACACATCTCGGCAGCTGGGGGAACACTGTCTAGAAGACACCATCCTGATCATTTAATTTGAGCTTATACTGCACACTGGGGTTCCCACTGCCCCCCCTTACATCCCTAAATATTAAAAACACACACGAGATGTTGGACATTTTTCAAGTTTTCTGAGATGCCACTGATAACTATCAACAGGCGCTGGCTTAGAGTTAACCCCTGGGTCGTCCTGCATAGATTTTCCATGTGAAGCCAAACTGAGGAAAAGATTTTAAACAGTCTGAATGTACCCTGCTTTACATTCATGCTGTGGGGTTTAAACAAAGCTGAATCCTTTACCCACCCCCTCGCTGCAAAAATACTATTTATTTTTCTTGCAGATGGACCATATACAAGGATAAAACAAATGTCTTTCTGTCTTGAGATGTGTATATCTTTTCCTGGCCACACTCCCAAAAGCCAAACACCGAACAGAGTGACTGATATCATCCTTGCCTGAAAAAACCAACAAACAAACTTTACCTCTCATCAGGCAGAAAGCAGGAGATCTGGATTCTAGATCCAGTGTGGCCATGTCCTAGCCTGGGGACTGTAGCAAGCCTCTCCAGCTCTTTGTTCTTGCTCCCTGTTTAGTGAGTGGGTGGGGTGGGCGGGCTTGGGAGAGGAGTTGATCTGAAACCCCACCCAACTCTAAAATCCTATGACTCCAGACCAAAACATGGGTAAACAATGGCAAGATCTTGTACGAATATATTGTAATATTGACTTAAAATATGAGTACCAAGAAGTCTTCTCTATAATGCCCTCTGCAAAGGAAACACCCAATTTCTGATTTTGACCTTATTTGGCCAATCTTATTTTTCAATCCCTTTCATGTAGTAACATCCCCACCTGCTGGAACTTTGTGCTGCTAAAGGTGCGAGGTGTTTAGTAACGTTTCCATGGCCTCAGCACCAGCTGGGTTACAGAGGGCCCCTCCCCCACTGTATCCCTCCTTGAAGGAGAGGAGAGGTCTGCCGCTGAGAACCTTCTTCCCTTGCACAGGGAATGGTGAGCACCCCACCCCCACCCCTGGAAGCGAGCGCTCAGCGGAGGTCAGAATTTCTGTACTTTTCTGAAAGATGATCCTTGCCTTCCTCCTCAGAGCCTTAGCCCCAGGGATACAGTTAATACCTCTGGGATTGGAGTTCCTTGAAAACAACCAGGAGTCTCAACACAGCATGGGTTTTCTGTGGTCAGAGGCAGGCCAGGGGTGGAGGCCGTGGGAAGCAGAGATCTCAGCTCTGAATTGCTACATGGCCCCCTTCAGCCCAAGACCCTTACGTCTGTGTGTCCACGGGAGAAAATCGCTAGGGGTTGTAAGGACTGCAACCCTACTCTTCCAGACCAGAGGCCTAAGCTCTCATTCCAGAATCAGAAGTCAGAGGCCTAGGTTTTTGGTTCTGCCTCTGCCCTCGCCTTGGGAGAGTCAGTTCTCCACCTGGGGCCTCTGGAAATGGGGAGATGGATGAATGTCCCTCGGTTCTGTCGTTCTACAATTCCTGTATGTCTCCGACATTCCTCCGCATGCTGTGTAAAGCCTCCCGTTGATGGAGCTGTCTCTGCTGAGCCACCTCACTTCCCGGGTTCCTCGCCGATGGTGCCATTTTCGGGTCTCATCATGGGGCAGGAGAGAGGCTTAGAGCTTGGTGCAAGGGCTGCTGTCCGACCTCTGGCTCCAGGGAGGGTGTAGCCTCCTCAGGGCAGAAGAGAAGCCAGCAGTCCCTGAGGAGGGGCTGTCCAGAGCTTACATCAGCCTCTCAGTGCCGTCAATAGGCTCCAGGGCCAAGTGAACTGGACTCCCTTTCCCCCATCTCCCCACCCACGTCTGCGGGAGCCCTACATACTGTGGCTCAGCTCCCACCTCCCATCCTGTGCCCCCAGCCTCAGAGCCCAATCCAAGCACAGAGCCATCGGGGCCCACCTAGGTGAGTCAAACAGTGACAAAAGCATCCTTGGGATTAGTGGTGACTGATGACTACTACTCACCACACTCGGCGAGCGCAGACCTCTGTTCTCTCAAGCCGGCTAACGAACAGCTGCCAAAGAGTTCCTGACAAGCACCCCTCTGGTATGTGGGCAGCGTTTCTGATCTCCCTCTAAAGGTCATCGTTCCACAGTCCCTCCCTTCCTGCCACCCCATCAAGAGTTGTTTATTTCACACAGCTAAATGCCAGGGTCCTTCGCAGCTACTCGGCGGCACTCCAGCGGAGAGAAGGCAGTAACCCAAAGACAAAGTACGGTGCCCAGCCCACTCATAAGTGTGACTCTGATATGTCACAGATGTCCTAGATCATATCCAGACTCCCTTCCTTTGCCATCAAAACTTGCCTTTTGGCTCCTGCAGGGTCCAGCCGATCTCATCTGGCCGGGACACTCCTAGCCGAGCCTCTGGCTGCGCTTCAAAGCGCATGTGTTGCTCTGTGCATTACAGCATCTAAGGCGAGGCAGGCGTGAGGAGTCCAGGGTAAGTGCAGGCACACCTTGTGCTCAGGTATGTCCACCACGTTAGTGACAAAGTGCTGTCACAAACATTTTCCCTGTTGGAGCCTTAATCACTGCCCTGGGGGAGGGGAGGGCTATGGGAGCAGGAGGAAGTCGAAGTTTTCAGGACACCTTGGGAAAGAGTGGGGTCGTCTGGTCATGCAGACTGGGACAAAAGTGTCATTTTAAGGACCTGCTGAAACCAAAGATTGGCCTTAGAGAAAACCTCAATCTGGGTCCAAAGTGTGCATCTGCAGAGGTGTCTAGACACTTTCCCAGCGTCTCCCTAGAGAGCCAAGGTTGGAGAGCAGATGCCCTGGAAGAGGAGAATTCGTGTCTGCCTCACCCAGGGTGGCAGCATTTCAGAGCCCAACAAATACGAATGCTGCTAATTATTTGCCACTTGGTGAGGAGACACTATTCACCGAGACTTGGCGAGGAGACTCGTTCTCCCCTGGCAACCTCTCCAAGGTTCTACAGGCAGCAGGGAGAAGACACCCCAGAAAAGAGTGCTAACTGGAGAAGTTGGCTGGCCTTGTAAACATTTGAGGAAGTACTCTGCTCAGAAGGATGCCCTTTCCTAGACTTGGTGGTCTGTCAGATACCGGGATCCCTCACATCCGGCTCAGTTAGTGGCAAAGGAGAAAAACTAAAAGGATTCTGCTTTGCCTCCGTGCCTTTCCCCATGTAAATACCCAGGGAAGTCATGCATTTTTAACGAGGCCAGGAACTGAATGTTAGCAAGCCTCGTCAATGATTATAGGAAGTATGTCTGAATTGGTGTGCTGCATAGAATAATTACCACGAACACTTACTGAGTCCTAAGCGCATGTCCAGGCAGTGTAATAAGCACTTCATGTGGACGAATTCACTTAATGCTCATAGTGATCCTGTGGGGTATGGGCTTGTTTATCCTTATGCTGTAGATGAGAAAACTGAGGCCCAGAGATTACATAGCTCACTACTGTGGCAGCCAGTGGGGAGCCCAGGTAGTCTGCCTTCAGCTCCTTCCACACCACCACTGGGCTTATACCACACCTGGAAATGGGGCCCGCGCCCTATACCCGTCTCTTGCTGGAGGCCTGAAGCAGGTAGGGGGCTCCTTTAACACTGGAGTCCTGGCCATGGATCCAGCCTCAGGACCCCCAAACTTATGGGGCTTCCTGGGTGATAGCTATTCTTGTGCTGATACAGAATCCAGTGACCCCAACAAAATTTCCTTACTGGTATCCCCTGCTCTGTCTCCTTTCTCTCCTTTCTCTCCTTTTGGTCCTCGATCACCTGAAACAGAGGAGAAAACTAGCATTAGAAATGGAAATAAATCCTAATGTTAAATAAAATATTATTCGCAGCAGACTTATTAACCCAAGACCGGGGAGGACCTCGGGCAGGAGCCAGCAGCGCTGGAGGGCATGGCGTGGCGTGGTGTGCCGTGGCATGGTGTGGCATGGCGTGGCAGGAAAGAGCTGTTTGTTCTGGGCACCTCAAGAAGAAGGTGCCCAGCTGAGAAGTTTCATTTCCTCCTCAATAAAGCTTCAAAAACCAGCACAGGCTAAAGGAGTACATGGTATTCAGCAGAAAGAGACAAAGCAAAGATATTCCTATGAAATAGTCAAGGTTTTAGAAATCCGCATAATCATGGGAAGAGGAAAGGGGGGAGGGCCTTCAGTTCCATAGAGAGAGACATAGGCTCTGTGTTGGGCAGATTTACTAGTCGGGGAGGCTATCAAACATGAGAGAGAGTGCCAAGGGAACTGTGGAATTTCCTTCCCAGGATACGGTCGAACGAACAGAGCCCTTCTCCCAGCAAGCATCTCGCTCTACAAAGAAGTAGTAGGTCCTGACACCACTCAAGCAGGTGTTAAACTTTCCAGGCAATTCTATTCCAAGTACCTTCAGAAAGCTATCTACAAATCAGAAGTCCATGGCATGATGTCTGGTGAAAATAAGCAAGCTAGCAAGTTCCAGGAGAGGATACCAGGGTGATCCAAGTTTTGGGAAAAAAAACAAAGGCAACCCTATATGTAAATATGAACATGGTTAGGAAAAGGTCTGGCAGGATGTGTTCCAAACTGTTTATGTAGTTATCCTAAAGAGTAAGAGCTTAAGGGACCAAAGGGGGGGGGGGGGGGAGGGCGGCGCTGACTTTTGACTTTATATGCTACATTTCTGTTTTGTTAAATTTTTTCAACAAGCATGTTTTGCTTTTGTACTCTGTTTCAAAATCAATTTTTTAAAAAATGTGGATCAAAAAAGTAAGGAAAACCTCAGCCTGTTTAATCACCAACCAGAAAGTAGAATAAAACTTCCCAGTGACGCAGGATTAAGAGACCATCCTAGACACTGGGTGGGAATGACTAACAGCATCTTTTCCTCAGATGTCATCTTAAGTGAGGGGGTCAAGCCTGGGGGAAAGGCATCCTATTTCCTCGTCGCCTTCTGCGACGATGATAGGAGGTCTGGACACTCTTGAAATCAATGTAGAAAGACAAGGACTGTAAATTGGGCTCCCCTAAAAACAAACAAGGTGACTATCAAGAGGAAGAAAAACCAGAACACTAGTGGCAACGTGCTGCTGAGAAATGATTCAAGTTTGACATATTTGGGGAATACAAAGACTAGGACGGACTGTGAGGACGGCAGTCCTGGGTCTGCAGCCTCCGTCCCCCTGCAGGCTCCTCTCCCGGCTTGGCTTCCTCTGAGCTGCACTCGGTACTAATGCTGGTTCTCCCGTGCATTTCCACAGCACTTCAGAGTTTACAAAGTGCCTTCGCACAGGTACATCCCATTTAAAACTCATGACAGGTCTGTGAAACCTGGCATCGTGAGAACTTCTAGTTTGGGGATGAAGAAACTGATGTTTAATGATGGGATTAAGCGGCTTGCTCAAGGTCACGCAGCTCATCAGTGGTTGAGCCAGAATTCAGAGCCGGTCCACCTGCTCCAATGCCCATGCTGGTGCCCAAGGGCTGGCCCTAGCAAGGGTGCTCTGAGATTCATTATCACCTTTGAACCCGCGCATGCCCATCGCTCCTGTGGCTCCTGGTCTCCCGTCATCACCCTTGAGGCCAGGCAGTCCTGGGGTTCCTCTTTCTCCTGGTAGACCTGGGGAGACAAGAGACAAGTCGGGGCCCTTAGAGGTCACCGTCTGACTCAGCAAATGACTCCAACCATTAATCCTCCCGTAGCCTCTGCTTCCTGGTTCCTCTCAGGTAATTTAAAGATGCTGCAAAGGCAGTGACCCAGAGGTCAGCATAAACCTGCCCCATTGACACCTTTATCCAGTTAGGCTGGACACTTCCCCCCGTAAAAAGCCAATTCTACTGTGAGTGACGATGGTGCTGCCAACCCCATTTGGGTGATGTCCCTTTACCTCTAGCTATGCTGGAGATTTAGATTTGACCACCACCCCCCCCAAATTTTTTTGAGCATTTTTATGTGCCAGGAACTATTCTGGATGCTTTATATAAAGTATCTTATTTAATCCTCACAATAAACTAAGGTAAGTATTATTTCACCTGTGTTACAAATGAGGAGACTGAGGTCCAGAGAGATTAAGTAACTTGCCCAAGGTCACACAGCAGAGTATCAGAGCCATGGTCTTTCTGAACTAAAAGCTCAGGGTTGGTGGGCTTCATCTCACACTGATGAAAAGGGTTTACCGGTACTTAGCGTGAGAGGAAGATGGAACAGTTTCCCATCATATTTAAGAAAAACAAAAACAAAAGGTTCCTTCCTTGGGGTAAACGTAGGGAAGTATGGAGACGGGGACTTAGGCTGAGCAGGAGGGAGAAAGTCAGCAAGGTCAGTGAATGGGATGGATGGCCAGCTACCAGATCAGGCCCTCGGGCTCCTGACCAGGAGACCCCACAGCCACGCTGGCATGTCCCCAAGGACAGCCAGAACCGACAGACACAGCCTTGGGTCCCCAGTGGCCTGACCTAAGCCCATGGTTATCTCTGCAAAGCTGAGCAGCCTTAATTACCTGATTAATTGTTCTTTGCTGCTTTGGATGTCAGTTGGTTTTCTTTGTGGAGAAACCAACCTCCCACTAATTATTCCTCCAGGGTCAATGTCAAATGCTGGAAGAGGACAGGTGGCCCCAGAGGGTGGCAGGTTCTCAAAGAAGGGCTGAATTTCTGTTTCTCCTTCCTAACACAATGTTCCCAGAGTCCAACAGCCCTTGTGCTGCAGAACTGTGAACCTAGCGCAGGATGTGTCCAGGGCCCCCCATGCTATAATTTACTAAAGCAGGAAAAGGGGTGCCACAGCACGGTGTGCCCCTGGGCATCCCCAGTTTTGAGTTTAGGGAAATCCCCTGAAAGGGGAGGCAGGGAGTGGAGGCCAGGCCACTGGCTCTCCCCTAACAGCCTCTGCCTCCTCTCCTGCTTAGAGGTTTAGAAAGGAGATGGTTTGGAGGTATGATTCCTGATATAAATAAGCAAGCACCTTTCCCCTGACAAACTTCTCCTTTTCTCACGTTATGCAGAACTTTGCACCCTCCTAGAAAAATGTTGCTCACACTAGAGGCTCAGGGATGGACAGACTGGGATGCAAAGTTTGATAAAGCGATGGACAGGAACTTCCGAGACAGTGACACTAAGAGGAACACACAGCTCGTCCTTGAGTAACACCATTTCTTCTTTCAGCGCAGTTTTGCTATCATGTTGATGAGATGTCTCGGGGACTTAACTCTTTATATCAGTTAGCCTCTGGTATTAGTTTCCTAATGTGTTGCTTCACTTAAAATCACAGAACCCATTGGTGAAGTTTAGTGAGGACTTACTGTACTCTTTCCAGAAGCCCCAAAGCCCCCCCTGTACCAGCCACTGGCTCTGCAGGGCTGCCATGGGTGTGTGTAGCAGGACAGAGGGAGGAGAGGGGCAGGTGTTGATTGCCCTGTGCAGGTTCAGCAGGAGGTGGGGCATCAGGTGCCTGGTGATTCACTGAAGGGGGCACAGCCTATATGGAGGGTTGGTCTGGATTACAGAACACCCTCAACTCCTTCTGAAGGTCCTGGTCACACAGAGCCTGACTCCTGGGGTGGAAAGTAGTTTCAGGGAGCTGGGAGCCTCTCATGGACCCTTGTTCTTCAAATCCTGGCACTTTCTATGACAAACAATTTGCTCCTTCCTATTGATATGCCAATCACCTATCCGTCTCTTAACAGCACAGGGATCTGAGGCTAAGTTGACTGGGTACTCAGCCAGGGAGCCCCATGGCCGATACCAGTGAGAAAGCACAGGGTCCGGAGTGGATGGAGAGCCCCTTCCCTTCCTGGTACGCCCAGGTCCCTCCCGGGGGCGTCCCCATTACCTCGAAGTCCAGGTAATCCAGGGATTCCAGGCTCGCCTTCCTTCCCTTCATCGCCCTGATCACCTTTGGGGCCCGGTGGTCCTGAAAGGGTCACAAGCAGCAGCAAGGTTAGAGGGTGGCTTTCTGGAACAGGCCACCTGCAGAGGAAACAAAAACTCCCTCCTACAAAGAGAAAGAGCCAGTTCTACCTTGTCCAGTCTTGTAGGTGTGGGCGAGAGAATCAGGGAAGGCTTCCTGGAGGAAGTAGTACCCAAAGTGAATTTCAAGGCAGAACGGTGACTTAAAGGGAGGAAGGGGAGTGTGAGCTGAATGTCTGTGCCCCCAAAGGCACATGTTGAAGCCCTGACCCTTAGCGTGATGGTATTAGGAGCTGACCAGGGTTAGATGAAGTCATGAGGGTGGAGCCCTCGTTATGGGATTAGTGGCCTTGTAAGAAGAGAAGTCCTGCTCCCTACTTTCCTCTCGCCGGTGAGCATGCTTTCTCTGCCATGCGAGAATCCAGCAGGAAGGCATCCATCTGCAAGCCAGGAGGAGGACGCATCAGCACCCATCCATGCCGGCACCCTGCTCTGAGTTCCAGCGTCCCGGACTGTGAGAAAGAATGTCTGCAGTTCAAGCCTCCTAGTCTATGGGTCGTTGTTACAGCATCCTGAACAGACTAAGTCAGAGTGAAAGGGGGTATTTCCAGGCAGCGGGAGCAGTCCCTGTGAGAGATTAAAGATAAGAAATAGCTATGTGAGCCCTGATGAGATTAGAAGCTGGGGGCACATGACGGGATAAGAAGGATGAGAAAGCAGAGGGTCCTGGAGGTGAGGCCTAAGCACTGGGCCGGACCCTGAGGGCACCACGCCCACAGGAGGGGCCTGAGAGAAGAGCGTGTTCAGAGCTGCACACAGGGAAGAGCACTCGGGCTGCCCTGTTGGATTGAAACAGGAGGCGGGGAGGGCAAGGGAGAGGCTCTACCCCAGGTGAGAGGCGCGGAGCCCTGAATTAGTGGCAGTCGGGAGGGATGTGAGTGGCTGGTTGGAAGTAGAAGAGACAGCCCTTGGCTAAACGGAGGTGAAGGCAGGGGAGGCGGCCAAGATCATGTTCGGATTTCTGGCTGAAGCACCTGGATGGCAGAAGGGATTTCTAACTGTTCCTGAGCAGGGCTTCCCTCCAGGGCAATACTCCAGTGTGGCAAGAGTCTAGCGTTCATGATTGGACTCAGTCCCCACAAGAAAGCTGGGTGCTGAGGTCACTGGTCTGAAGCCACACAGCCAGCTAGAGAGGGAAGGAGCCACGGTCGCAGCTCGGGGCTGTCAGGCTCTCTGTCTGCCTCGTTCCTTGTGCTGGACATCGTGTCGTTCATTCCCCGAACATGGCTGGACCTTCCCACCACACAGCCTGCTGAGCCCTCCCTGCCCATCTGCCATCGCCACCCACTCCCCACACCCCAGGGCTGCTCACTACCACCTTCTTGGCCGAACCATCTCTGATCCACCACTCTTGCTGAAAATGGGCACGGCCTGTTTGAATGCACGTATGTGGCACCCTTTGACACGTACCTCATGCTGCCTGTCCTGTAGTCACAGATATATATGTTCCCTTTTTGCCAATAAGTGGCCAGCCCCCTGAGGCAAAACGACATCTTTGACATCCCTTTTCCAGCTGGGAAGATCCAGAGATGCTGAGCTCCCCATTCCTGCTGCTTTGTGAGAAATACAGAGGACCAAAGAAAATGCCAAACTATACTGTACTGGGTTGCAGAGTGTTCCCTCAAAATTTATGTCCACCCAGAACTTCAGAATATGACCTTTGGAAATAGGGTCTTGGCAGATGTGATTAGTTAATATACGGTCATACTGGAGTATGGTGGGTCCTAAACCAATGGCTGGTGTCCTTAGAAGAAGAGAACGCATGGACAGACACACAGGGGGAATGCCATGTGACGATGCAGGCGGATGCTGGAGTGATGTGTCTACAAATGAAGCAACGCCAAGGATTCTGGCAACATTAGAAGGTAGGAAGAAGTCAAGAAGGATCCTCGAGCTTTCGGAGGGAGTACGGCTCTGTGCACCCCTTGATTCCAGACCGCCGGCCTCCAGAACTGTGAGAGAATACATTTCTGTTGTTTTAAACTACCGAGTTTGCGGCCCTTTGTTATGGTAGCCCCAGGAAACCAAAACATGTATACTTGCAGCATAGCAGTAATGTCTTGCACAATAAATATTTGATGAGTGAATGAGTATATGAGATCAGAGGGTGTTAATACACACAAAACAACCAGAATGCCAAGATCAAGATGTACTGATAAATTCCAAAAGTTGGCACTGTCCTCAGACCCGAACCAAAGTAGACAGTTGTTTAATAATTCGATGGCACGTGCACAGAGAAAAAGTAATCAACAATTGAAAAATGCACGAGTTACACAGATCATTTGTGGACTGGGATTCAGAGCCACCGTCCTCTTTTCTATGAAGAAAAGTAAAATCAGAAGGGCCACACTGGTCCCAGTTTTCAGGTGACGAGTTGAGACACAGAACCTGTTCAGAACACAGCTAAGATTATAGAGCAAAGGAAAGACATAGTAAAGAAGCAGATCAGCTTCCCAGCTCCCATTCCAGCAACGCCTGGCCAGGGCAAGGCTGGGGAAAGGGAACGGAGAGAGGTCCCTGGGTCTCTCCACTCCATGAGCTGCCACAGGGGTGGACCTCCCTTCCCCTGCCTGCAGTATAACCCACCCCTTTTTGCTCTCCCTACCTCCTCCCCACGTAGAACCCAGAGCTCCAAGAATTGAGCAGGTCAAGGATGCAACGAACCGGACACTCCCATTTGTTCTCTTCGCTCTAATGGGTGTGACTCAATGTATGGCTCTTCCTTAGAGTAATTCTCACGAAGGGGGATGCTACCCAGTGGAATGACCCTGATGGTGGGGCCTCAGGGTGGCAGAGACCATTTAGAAGGTAGGGGTTGATTACGGATACAGAGCATCTTGAGTTCCAGGTCCTGGTTCTAGAAAATCTAAGTAAAAAGTCCATCCTTGGGCATGCGTAGTGATGAGTAAGTGGATAAATTACATAATGGATATACAAGGTCTTGGTAACCTTTGAGTGGCAAGGCCACCCTTAAAATGTGTACCCACTTTTCATAATGCTTCCTTAGAATGACTCTAGGGTGACTGTGTGTGGGGCTCTAACCTGTCCTGAAATCACCCTGCCAAACTTGGCTGGATCATTCAGAGTCAGGTCTGAAAAGCATCCCTCATGTGGACATAGTTTTTAAGACACAAATATGTGGTTAGTAAGGGCCTGTGCTAAAGATGAATTGGGAAGAAGTTGGGGTGGACAGTAAAGCGGGTGCTGATTTCCAAACCTGAGTCACCTCCGTAGGTGGTACTGGCCCAGCAGATGCAGAGGAGCCTGAACCGTGGCCCGTCTGAGCCTTGCGGGCCAGGCTGCCCAGCGGTCTGCGGATCAAGCGTTTCTTCCAGTCATTGCTGCCCATGCGCAGTGCACTCCTGGGATCCGCCTTTTTATCATTTTCTCAGGAATCCAGGCTAAAAACCTTGAGGTTGCGCTGTCACGCCTCCTTTGCTCTGCCCACCCCCCCGCCCCCCAGGCTGTTACTCTCCAAGGCTGGTCACTGAGGAGATTCCCACGTGTGGGTCTCCGCCCCCTTCCTCCCGGGCACCGAGCTCATCGCGTCCTCACGGCTGGCTCCCAGCCCTTTGAGAGACCTCCTTGTCTCCGGCTTCTCTCTGCGATCCTGTTCATGCCCATTCTGTCCATGAAGCTCATCAGAATCCAATGCACGTGGTACCCAGGGGACCCCCTCTGTCGGAGGCCTCGCAGGTCACTCCCAGTTGATCTGTTCCGCACACTTACAGTCTGGTGCTTTCGGATACAAACTCCTTTCCACCTCTGCAGAAATATTCTCCTCATGGTGCCCCCCAAGCCCTTCCTTTCTAAGAGTCCTGCCCGTCTTAGCCCTGGGGCTCACCTTCACGCTCGCCCTTCTGATCTCTTAGGGCACCAGAGCAGAGCCCCCACACTTCAGAGCTGGAAAAAGCCTCAGACATTACTGTGCACAGACCCCCAGAGGCCCCCCGGAGCCTGGTCAGGTCCCCTGTGCCCATTGACTGGGCACAGCCACTCACCTCGAACTGGGTCTGCAAAGAGGACAGCCCTACAGAGAGGCCCCCCCCCCCCCCCCCCGTGTCTCACACAGCACCTGGCACAAGGTAGGGACTCAGAGAATGACTTCCGGGCAGTCATAGAAGCCGTTACGGTATCCATGGTCCCAGCGGTACCCAGACAAGGTTTTTAAGGTCTCAGCTTTGCACACTGTCACTTTCTCATCTTTTCTCCCCTAGAGCAGGCCAGAGCATGGAGGTGGGCCGGGATAAGGGTCCGCGGGGTCTATTTCTCCTCGGTCATGAAAACAGCCCCTGAGCCCCCTCCACCGTGCTTCTGGTCCGGTGTGCCAACTTCTCCTTCCTGCCCACCTTCTAGAGGAGGTATGGGGGGTAGGACACCTGTGCCTGGGGTCCCCCCTTAGTCCACCAGCCCCCCCCCACACACACACTGCCCCCAGGGCCAATCCGCTGCCTGTGAGCCACGCCAGCTGGAAGCATCCCCAGAACAAAAGACAGAATATGTGACCCAGCATTTGGGAGAAACACCAGGATTCTTCTGGGAACCAGCCCACAGGGAGGGAAAAGAAATCTGTTCTCCCTTCCCGAATCCTGGAACTAGCAATGGGGCGGAGGACGTGCGTGTGCCGGAATCTGGACAGCGACCTGCCAAGAACAAGTTCTCATGACAGCTGATAAAGTGGGCCTGACGCCAGCGCAACAGTGACCGAAATCATACTGTAAACACCACCCCCGGAGCCATGCTCGCCCCAGGGCAGCTGCCGGGGGTGGAGCTCCTGTTACTCTACTTCAAGTCCCTGATGTCACTGGGCACCGGACTCGCAGTGCTCTACCTTTCTACTTTGGAGAGCTCGCTCATGTCCTGCATTCCCGACAACCTCCCTACCGCCCTGAGCATGCAGAGCGGACAGGGACCATCTGCCCCATCTCACCGCTGAGGGAACTT